CCTGGGTAGAATTTGGCACCTAGAGCAGATATCTGTTCCAGGATAAAAATCTTCTGCAAAGAACTTAATGATATACTGGAGTTTTTATCTAATTTAAAAAGAGGAAAGACCATGAGGCTTTTCAGAGAAGGATGAGACAGTGGATTTAGATTTGATTCACTTCATTTTCATTACTCCAATATTATAAGGGGAAAATTAGAATGATGATGGCACTCTCCTATCTTACTTGGTCTTATTCTGGACAAGTACTGAATTAGGTTGATGGATGTTATGGGAGACCCTATGGAAAATGGGGCCAGGAACCCGTAACATGGTCTTATAACAGCTCATCATTCTCACAGAGCAGATGCGATTAATACTCTGGGCTCATCATTCTTAAGCAATTTATGCCAGGGTTTTCTGTAAAGAAGTTTTCATGTGTCGGTTGTTGTTGTTAAGTGCCTTCTAGTCGGTTCAGACTCATAGCGATCCTGTATAGGGTTCCCAAGGAGCAACTGATGGTTTGAAACACCAGCTTCTCTATTAGCATTCCAGTATTTATCCTACAAGCTTCATACCAGGACTCTCTGTTTAATATATTTTTTAAGGATCCTGCTTGTTTGCTCTTTGTGGTATGTTGTTGGTGTTGTTAAGGGCCGTTGAGTCCGTTCCAACACATAGCAATACTGTGTAGGATTTCCAAAGCTTTAAATCATCTTGGGAACAGAAAGCCTCATCTTTCTCCCACAGAAGAGCTGGAAGGCTCAGTCCTCAGACCTTGTGGTTCCAGTCCAATGCTTACCTATGGAGCCACCCTGCTCACCTTTGTGGTATGTATGTTCCCATTAAAAGATCAGCTTTCCCTTTTCTGTGTTAAGGAGCATGGTGGCTCTGTACACTGGACTACGAACCACAAAGTTGACAGTTGAAGCCCACATGTCATGGAAGAAAAATGAGGCTTTCTGCTCCCACAAAGATGTACAGACTCAGAAACCCTATACAGGGTCGCCATGAGTAGGAACTGACCCCACAGCAATTAACAACAACAACAACAATGCTAAACGAGGAACACAGTAGCTCTGTAGGATAAGCATGGACTGATTGCCACAAGGTAACTGATTGCTGTTGTTGTTGTTGTTGTTATGTGCTGTGGAGTCGGTTCCGACTCACAGCCACCCTGCATGGGGTTTCTGAGCTGAAAATCTTTATGGGAGCAGAAAGCCTCATCTTTCTCCCGAGGAACAGTTGGTAGTTTCAAACTGCTGACCGTGAGATTCAGCCCAATCAGTTCAAGTACCATGGGACAAAGACGAGGCTCCCTGCTCCCACAGAGATTTATAGTCTCAATATACAAGGTCTCTCAATGGCACTTAACAACAGCCAACTAAATGAGACAAATGAAATTTTTTCTTTGTATAAGAATGAGTGAAAAATTATCTACTCTCTGTCCATAGAATTTATTTTAACCAACTTTAAAAAAAGACAAATACATCATTTTTTGACATAATCTCCTTAATTTTAAATTCATTTTGTCTACCTGCAATAAGCTTTTGTATCCCCTTATTTAAAAATGTTTTAGGCTGTGCTGAGAGTCACAAATGCACCACTGTCTTCCCTGCTTCATCAAGGTGAATCTTTGTCCTCGAAGTGCTGTTCTCAGGGGACCAAACAGGTGAAAGTCCGATGGAGCAAGATCAGGACTGTAGGGAGGATGCTTTAACACCTCAAAACAAAATTTTGCAGAATGTCAACAGTCTGAGCAGAAATGTGCAGACGTGATTGTCATGCAAGATAACAGTGCCCTTGGATAGTTGTTCTCTGTCTTTAATCCCTTTAAACTCTTCAGTGAGCATCTCACTGTAATGGGCACTGTTGACTGTTTAATGTTTTACCTGATAGTGTTCCAATACTGGCTCTCGAGGATCCTAGAAAACTGTAAGCATCAATTTTCCAACTGATGGTTGAGTTTTCAACTTTTTCTTGGTCAGCGATTGAGGATGTTGTCATTCCATACTCTGCTGTTTACTCTCAGGTTCATAGTGATGAATCCATGTCTCATCACCGGTAACAATTTCTTGAATGAAACCTTTATCTTCCTTCCAGTATTGGTCCAAATTTTGTTTTCAGATATCCAAATGCTTCTGTTTATGCTCTCCCATGAGTTGTTTCGGCACCCATCTCACACAAACTTTTTGAAACCCAAGTCTGTCATGAATTATTTCATAGTCAAAGCCATGGCTGATTTGCAAATGATTTAAGACACAATCCATTGTCACTCATCTATTCAACAGAATCATTTCACGTGCACACTCAATGTTGTTATATAACTGGAGTGCGGATAATTTTTGACTCACAGTCAGATTTTGCCATGGACCCACAATTAGGTGTCATGGGAAGTAATAAAGCATCAGAATGCCCTGTCTGGGCCACCCAGTGGTCTTTACTGGTGGACACTATTTCCTCTCAGACATCCTGAAAGGGTCAGGAATTCCATATAATGCACATGTGTAGCAATTCTTCCCTTCACAATGGAATCTCTATGAGAATAGCTGGATATCATTCAGCATCACATTTGATAGTAAATAAAAGTGTGTTGAAATTTTAAACAGTTTCTAGTGTTCCTCACCACTGGACCAATAAACAACATTCTATCAATGGAGAAAAAATTGAGGTTGCCAAGGACTTCATTCTTCTTGGATCAACCATCAACACTCACGGAAGCAGCAATCGAGAAATCAGACGAAGTACTACATTAGGCAAATCTGCTGCACAAGACCTTTTTAAAGTGTTGAAGAGCAAAGATGTCAGCTTGAGGTCTAAGGTGCACCTGACCCAAGCCATGGTGTTTTCAATAACCTCATATGCATGCAAAAGCTGGACAGTAAATAAGGAAGACCATAGAAGACTTGATGCCTTTGAGTTATGGTGTTGGAGGAGAAAATTAAAAGTGTCATGGGCTGCCAAAAGAACCAATAGATCCATTTTGGAAGAAGTACAACCAGAGTGCTCCTTGGAGGCCAAGATGGCTAAACTTTGTCTCTCATACTTCAGACATATTGTCAGGAGGGAACAGTCGCTGGAGAAGGATATCATGTTTGGTAAGGTGGAGGGTCAGAGAAAAAGAGGACCCCCAGCGAGATGGATTGGCCAGGTGGCAGCATCGATGGACTCAAGTGTGGCAACAGTAGTGAGCCTGGCCCAGGATTGGGCAGTGTTTTGTTCTGCTGTGCATAAGGTTGCTATGAGTTGGTACCAACTCGTTGGCACCTAGCAACAACAACAACAAGTGTTCCATGTCATGAAATTTCTATTTTAATGTGTTCAAAAGAATCAGAGAATGGAACAGCACAGGGAAGTGCCCATTCTAGATTTTGGCAATTCTGACAATGGACCACTTGGTAATTGGGTCTGAATTACCAAGTACTTTTTTTACTTGGTTGTCGAGTTCTGTGGGATTTAACGATACAGATCATAATTCAAAATAATGATGCATTTTACAGGAGAAGATGACAACAGGGGTATGGATACAAGAGAGGGCAGGAACAGTGGCAGGGTTGACGCCAGCTTGTTTAATCAAAGGCATTTACTGAGAACAGAAAATGTTCATGGTGGTGTGACTTATGTAAGTCCATCTTGGTTTTGACATTTCTTTTATATCATTTCTGGGTAAAATGAACTTGAAGAATCAAGTAATAAATACATCATGACTTTGTATACACAGAGACGTACATGGAGGCAGCCAATAAAAAAAAGTTTTTAAAACCAAACCCCACTATCATTGAGTTGATTCTGACTCATTGCAACCCTGTCTAGGATTTCCAAGACTGCAAATCTCTAATAGCAGAAAGGCTCATCTTTCTCCCACTGACTAGATGGTGAGTTTTAACAGCCTTGTGATCAGTAGTACAGTGCTTATCATAAGTACCAGCACTCCTTAGAAAAGTCAATGTTGTTGTTGTTAAGTGACATCAAGTTGGTTCCAACTCATAGCAACCTTGTATAGGGTATCTGAGGAGCGACTAGTGGGTTTGAATCACTGACCTTGCTGTTAAGCAGTTCAGTGCTTATCCTACAGTAACACACCAGGCATCTGAAAAGTCACATTTAAATGGGGTAATAGTCTTGATTCTGCTTTAGAGAACCCAGAGGATTTGAATTCAGAAGGAAACAGAATGTCAGGGGAAAGAGGAGCACCCTTCCCACTATAATTCATCATTAAAGAATCAAGTAGAAGGAAAATCAAAGATTGATTACTTTACTTGATGTTCATTCTGTTCTGATTTAGTGTTGCTCTTGCGCCATTGAGTCGATTTTTGACTCCCAGCAGCCTCATGTGTCAGAATAGAACTACCCCATAGGGTTTTCAAGATTGTAATCTTTACAGGCCTGGTGTATAAGCACTGGACTGATAACCTCAAGGTTGGCAGTTCAAACCCTCAAGTTGCTCTTGGAAACATTATACAGAGTTGATATGAGTCAGAAATGACTTGATGTCACATAACAATAAAAATCTTTACAGGAGCAGATTCATAGCTTTTTCTTCCAAGGGGCTGCTGGGAGGACAGGAACAGTCAACCTTTCTGTTAGCAGCTGAACCATTGGGCCACTAGGTGTTTGCATTCAACAGAGACCCTAAAGTAACAGGCCAAAATGCTTTCCCTGGAAGAAATTTTAGTTCTAGTTCTTGGACCCTAGAGAATCCCCCACACCTCTTCCTCCTCCCATCGGCTTTGAACCCAGTGCTCACTGTCTTCTGATTAGACCACAGTTCACACTTTCGTCTCTTTGTAATTAGCATATATTGTGATTCCTTTCAATAAGTTTCAGGTTCCACTTTTCTCTGTGCCTGGTATCTTTCCTTTTGTCCCCCTAAAAAGAGGTACCAAACTGACAGTCTGTGGGATGCCCTCCATTTGATTGTTGGTTCTCTTGTCTTTGAGTGATAACCATCACCCTGGGACTTGGTGCATGACCAGGCCTATAAAGGGACACCCACTACCTCTGCTCTTATCTTACTCCACCTTTTTCCATGTCAGTCCTGATCTGCTCCTCAAGGTCCTCTGGAGACACATAGAAGTCCTCTTCCGGTACTGACGTCTTAGGTCGGCACCGTCCACAGCAGCAGTTGCAACAGCAGCACAGGCAACAGCAAAAATAGCAGCCTGTCAGGAGGCCGATGATGACAAACAGGGTCTGGGGGAAAAGGTAAAAGAGGTAAAGCAAAATGGGGTCACAGACAGGGGGTCAAGGACAGGGGGGTCAAAGAGAACCCTAGAAATCAGGTCAGTTCCCATGTACTCTCAGAGACTGTAGACATACATGAATCCCCCTCAGATCACATGTTCACTATCATCCTTACTCTGTGTAAAGAGATAACCTTTTAGTTTCCTTGGAAACAAATGTTTCATAGAGTTTTGCCTAACAAGTTAAACCCAAAGGAAATAAATGGAAGTCAAAGAGATGAAGTATGACGTTTTCTTCTGTATTCTTAAACTACTGTGATCATCCTTAAGAAGAGAACAAAATGAAACAAAATGGGCTGCACATTAGATGAGCTAACCAAGCTTCCCTGCCCAAGGGGACAAAATCATTCCCAACATGGAAGAGCTCTGTGTCACCTTCCCCTGCCACCTCCGTGTTCCTATTAGTCACCAAGTCCTGTAGAGTTTCTCTCCTTGATATCTCTTGCATTTCCCCCCAGTGGTGGCCCAGAGGGCTTTAGAAGAGATCCTCACTATCTCTGGTCTGCACATTCAGCAGCCCCTACCTGAACTCGGGGGCCCGCCACTTTTACCTCCCTCTAATCTACCCTGCACATTGTTAGAAGAGAGAGCTTTCTGAAGCACATCTGCTTAAACCCAGGCAGTGACTTTTCCTGCTTCTAAGGTCAGATCCCAACACCTGCCACAATGCACAAGACTTCAGTGACTTGTCTCCCTGCCACACACACACATATGCACACAACTTTCTCAACAACTTTCTCTTTCCCATGGCACCCCCTCCCATTCCCCTAGCAAATACCTAAACACAAAACAAAAGAAACACTACAAATGCACTCAGACTCTGAAGCTGTGAGCTGATATGTTGTTGTTGCTAGGTGCCCTGCACAGCCTCGGAAACCCTGTGCAGGGTCACTATGAGTCAGAATCGACTCCTGGTACTTAACAACAACATAGGGCTTTTAGGCTGTAATCTTGATAGGGAAGTTCTGGAGTGGTGATGTAGGATAAGTACCGGACCACAAAGTCGGAAGTTCAAATTCACCAGTCACTCCTTGGAAACCCTATACCAGGGTGCTATGAGTCAGAACTGACTCCACAGCACTTAACAACAACAACCATCTTTACTGGAGCAGATCGACAGGTTTTTATTACACATAACTGCTGTAATAAACTTTCCGTTAGAGTGCTTAACCAATGCACTATCAGGTCTCCTTGAGCTAATATTAAAATAATAATAAAAACTGCTGTAAGTGAGGGGTGATTTGGGGGTAGGGAAGCTTTAGTTACCCCTGACACTTCTAATCTCTTTGTGTTGTCACTGTAGTTGTTAAGTGCTGTAGAGTCCATTCCAACTCATAGTGACCCTGTATAGGGTTCTAGAGGCTTAAAATCTTTGCAGGAGCAGAAAGTCTCATCTTTCTCTTGAAGAGTAACTGCTGGAATGGAACCACCAACTTTGTGGTTTGAAGTCCAATAGACACTCTATTTTCATGGCTCAGATAAACTGGTCTGAAAACAAAACACCAAGGCCTTCCTGTGCTGTACTAATTCATGGCTCAGATGCTCATTGTTTTTCTATCCACTGAGGCCTTTTAGTCTTTAACAGGCAACTCCTACACTATTGTCTTCTCTGAGAAGTTGATTACCATACATATAGCTGTATTTTTTAACTATCTCAAATAGATTGTCTACTTTACTGCATGAAATAGCCTTGCCTCATTCCTTACAGTGCTTATAAAAGAACTAGGAGTCTCTCCGTGTTGCAAAACATTAATTACTCAACTGCTAACAGAAAGGTTGGAACCTACCCTGAGGCAGGATTGGAGGTCTGCTTCTGAAAGGTCATGACATTGAAACAGTGTTCTACTCTGCATACAGGGAGTGATTATGAGTTGGAATCAACTCAACAACAGCTAACAACAATAATTGATGGTACTGGCACAAGTCTGTTAACTTTAAAATAGTGTGTGGGTGTGTGCATCTTATCTCTCCTTTTGTCCCCACCTTCTTGGTTAGTATGCCTTGTTGTTGTTGTTGTTATGTGCCATCGAGTCGGTTCCGACCCATAGCGACCCTGTATAGGGTTTACGAGGGTGTAAATCTTTATGGGAGTAGAAAGCCTCATCTTTCTCCCGTGGAGCAGCTGGTAGTTTCGAACCGCTGACCTTAAGGTTCGCAGCCCGATTCGTAACCACTGACTAGACATTTATAAATTTAATTGATCTTTTCAAAGGACAAGTTATTGGTTTCACTGATTTTCTCTATTCTAATTCTGTTTTCAATTTTGTTGATCTGCTCTGGTTTTTACTATTCCCTTCCTTCTACTCATTTGGCAGTGATGGTACACTGATTTCTTTAAGTAATTCAGGTTTAATAAATGATGACTCGGAACCAGATCACTCTTGTGGGTCATGCAATTGGGCTTTGACTGAAGCACTAAGGTAAGGTGTACTTTTATGTAGCTTCAATTTTAAATATTCATATTAGGAATTATTTTGAATGTCTTTTACATCAGTGAACAGATTTTGCTAGTCTACTGAATTTTGGTCAATTTTGTCTATGTCCTGTAAAAGAAAACCTATTCTCATTTTTCATGGTAGTGTGCAACTATCTGTACTCCCATGGAAAGGGCAACATACCTTGTGGTTAGGCTCCCAGGCAAGCCCCCAAAAGCCTGTACTGTGATGCTAATACACCAAACAAACCCACTGCCTTCTAGATGATTCTGACTCATAGTGACACTGCATGACAGAGTTGAACTGCTCCATAGGGTTTCTTATACTGTAAATCTTTATGGAAGCAGACAATCTCATTTTTCTCCTGCAGAGCAGCTAGTGAATTTGAACCTCCAGTTTTACAGTAGCAGCTCAGTGCTTAACCCACTGTACCATCAGAGCTCCTTTATACTATGATATAAATAGTCAACCTTATGATTATAAATGCCAATATCAGTACGTGCATTACCATTCCAAGTTCCAACTGCATTTAACAGGAACTTGAGCCTTCAGCAACTGAGAAAGAGGAGAAAGGGGAGATTACAGAAGGACCCCAGGTATCCTTAGGAAAAAGAAATTCTGGTGGCTGCAAAAGACAACTGAGGCTTTAGATTGCAGACTCTCTGTACTCATGTACAAGAACACTTTATTTTCCTGCATAAATGAAACTCTTCAATTTAGCAAATTTATTTTAGTAGTTTCTATGAGTCAGAACCAACTCTACAGCACATTGCAACAACAAAATTTTAGTGGAAGAAAATAAGCATTAGAGTACTACTAAGTATGAAAGCTTCTTTTTTGGAGATTTCATTGTAATTATTATTATTGACAATGCATATGAATTTGGAATAAACTGTCCACAAAAGATGCTGATGTTTGGTGTATATATAAAATATAGTTTTATCAGAAGATAGACACTAAAACTTATACACAAATATTAAACCATCACCAAACACATTTATACTTGGAATTCCTAGGAAACCAAATAAAATTTATTGTACAGAAGTCAATTCTTTGTACATAAAGTCCTTAAAAGGGTTGCTTTTTTTTCTGACAGATGTCCATTTTCGCTCCTTCTTTCTCGAACTTCCTGTCCCCCGCTACTTAATTCTCACCTTTCCCCTTATCTCCTTTTCTATGATCTCACAACAGGCTCCACCGAAGCCTCAGCACAATCACCAGGAACTCAACCCAAGGATCCTTGCTGCTGATTAGCCTATGCTATAGATAGTTCTGGTAGCGTAGTGGTTACGAATCGGGCTGCGAACCTTAAGGTCAGCGGTTCGAAACTACCAGCCGCTCCGCGGGAGAAAAATGAGGCTTTCTACTCCCGTAAATATTAACACCCTCGGAAACCCTGTATAGGGTCGCTATGTGTCGGAACTGACTGGACGGCACGTAACAACAATGATAGTTAGGAGTCCTGGAGCGGCGCTGTGGGTTAATGCGCCAGACTTCAAAGCTGTTTGAACTGCAAGGTCGGTGGCTCAAGTTCACCAGCTCTTCAGAAACCCTATACAGGGTCCCTATAGGTAGGAATCAACTTGACGGCGCTTAACAACAACAATAGATAGTTAAGGACATGACCAAATTTATTCTATATTCATGTACTATTTACTAAACCACTGTCACACTAATAAATTATTTTTGGTTTTAAGCAATGAGTTCGTTTTAATTAGTCATTATAAGAGGAGGAGGGAGGGCAGTCAGAAGTCACTTGATGCTCCAAACTCAAACATAATGAATATCTAGAAGTACTTTAAACCATGCTGTATTTCATAATTATTTGATGAGCTAAAGCAAAAGCTATCTTCAAATAACAGCTTTGGATGGAAACATTGTTTCCTTTTATTTGCAAGAATCTAAGAATAACGAAGATATACTCTATTTGAGATGGTGTCTACCGAGCAAATAATCCATGGTCTTCCTGGAAATTGTTTTGGAAGAAAAAAGAATCGGACTCACCTTTGCCCACCAGCTTGACAGCATGAAGTAAGTATTAACATTTTCATCTCCAAATTGCTCTGCCACATAGAGTCCCAGTGATCCATACTTGTCATATATGTTTCTCTTTGACATGTCAGTAAGTATTGTGTGGGCATTGTTGATTTCTTTAAACTTTTCAGCTGCACTTGGGTCATCTGGATTTTTGTCTGGATGATGTTTCAGGGCCAATTTTCTTTTAAAATGGAAAAAAAAAAAAAGGTGTGATTTGACTAGAATCATGGAGACAGTTTAGAAAGGCACTGTTCATTTGTTTTTGTTACATGCCGTCAAATCAATTCTGACCCATAGCGACCCTGCATAGGGTTTCCAAGGAGCAGCTGGTGAGCTTGAACTTTGCAGTTCAAACGACGACTTTGCAGTCTGATGCATTAGCCCATAGCGCTACACCAGGACTGTTTACTTGTACAGCCTTTATTTGTGCAAATACTGGGAAGTGATACATTTATTCTCTATAGTTGCTAACTAAGCAATTATGCTTCAATCAATGCTACTTATTTATAATGTGCAGGTATAATAGCAATAGTTCTCTCGTATCAAACAGTGAATAAGGAAGACCATAGAAGAATAATGCTTTTGAGTTATAGTGTTGGAGGAGAATACTATCCGTGCCATGGGCTGCCAAAAGAATCAATAGATCCGTTTTGGAAGAAGTGCATCCAGAGTGCTCCTTGGAAGCCAAGATGGCCAAACATACATCAGACATATTGTCAGGAGGGACCAGTCGCTGGAGAAGGATATCATGTTTGGTAAGGTGGAGGGTCAGAGAAAAAGAGGAAGACCCCCAATGAGATGGATTGTCCAAGTGGCAGCATCGATGGACTCAAGCATTGCAACAGTAGTGAGGTTGGCCCAGGATCGGGCAGTGTTTCGTTCTGCTGTGCATAGGGTCACTATGGGTCGGTACCGACTCGATGGCACCTAACAAACAACAAAAATGCTCAAAGGCATTCTCCATAGATAGTTTACTATTGTCAAATAAGTGTAGATTTTCTTTCCCTGGAAGTTGTATTGACTGCCTCTGGACTAGAAACCAATGAGAAGATGATCAGCAGCTCACTCCAACACTCAGCGACCACTGATGGTCCAGCAACAGAACCAATTCACACCAAAATTTCATTTAGAACCTTAAGATGGTAGGAGATCAAGCTTTCCAGAAGTAACTGAAGTTAATAGTCTAAAAAAGTAGAAACTCAATTATCAAACAAATCTAGAATTCCTTTGAACAAGCATTGTCCTGGTGGTGCCATGGGTTAAGCATTGGGCTGATAACCACAAGGTCAGTGGTTCAAATCCACCAGTCACTCTGAGGCAGACACATGAGGCTGCTAGCAGCTCTGGTAAAGATTTAGAATCCCGGAGTCCTAGAAAGAGTTCTACTCTGTCCCATAGGGTCACTTGGAATGGAATCTACTAGCCAGCAGTGAGTTTGGTTTGGTTTTGGAGTTTGAACAAACATGATGATACCTACTACCTACTGTCATTGAGTGGATTCTGACCCATAGCGACCCTATAGGAGGTTTCTGTGCCCGTACATCCTGAGGAGCAGGTTTGAATCACCAATCTTGTGGTTAACAGCCCAGTGCTTATCTTACAGCACCACTGAGGCTCCTTAAACTTTATGATGTTGCTGTTGTTAAGTGCCATTGAGTCAGTACCATGGAGTCAGTTCCGACTCATAGCGACTCTGTACAGTGTTTCTGAAGCTGTAGCAATCTGTATAGTGTTTTCAGGAGTGACTAATGGGTTTGAAACTCCTGGTGTGGTGCTGTAGGATCAGCACTAGACTGTGAATCACAAGGACCTCAGTTCAAACCCATCCACTGCTCCTCGGAAACCATAGACAGGGTCACTATGACTTGAGTTAGAACTGACTTAATGGCACTTAGCAACAACACCTAATAGTTAGCAGATCAGTGCTTATTGTCCTACGCCAGGAACCCAAACATGACAGACCTTATCATTTCAAATAATCTACAGAAATTTACTTAGGTATCTGTCCTTTCTCCTCTGTGGATCACAAAGCAAGGCCTAAGGGGTGTTGTGTGTGCTGTAAGGAGATGGGGTGTTTTTTAGACATCGATAAGATTCAAGTATAAAAGAGAATAAGAATACATCAGATGGATGATATGGCTGGGGATTAATTCTTTCATTTCTCCCAATAGGCAGATAATGATTAAAGCTTTGTTTCAAATTGGATCTGTGGTCTTTTTTTTTATTCCCCACAACAATATCAATTAATTTTTTGAGTCTCCATCTCCCTTCTGTGCCAATTATAGGTATCCATGGGGTACATTTAAGCTTTTGTTTATCACATTGGTTTAAATGAGCTTGTTTCATTTTAATAGAGTAATAAGAGGAAAGTCCAGAAAAGTAAAATATACCTTAAAAATCAACCTACAGGCTAGACTCAGTACATGAAATCTATTTTAGGAATTAAAGTATAATTGATTGGGAAGAACATAAATAATTAAGCAACTCAGCATCAGGATACTTATAAATCACCAAAATATTTAAAAGAATAAAATGATAGTTTATAATCCCTTCTAATTTTAAACACAGAACAAGCAAGAAGAGTAAAATAGTAGCTCATTTTAAATTTGTTTAGCCAAACCGTTTCTCTTTCTTCTTTTTGAGACATATATTAGGAATATTTATGAACTCTTATAGATGGAAAACATTGAAGACATATTTATGTGCAGAATTTATTATGGAATTTTCTTCTAATAACACAAATGATTCTTTTTTGACATTTGCTTTACTTTTTTAGATTATGTACAGAATAGTCTTACTACAAAAAAAAAGATTGGGGGGAATTCTGGGAAAATGGCAACATGAGCAGATCTAACAATAACAATTCCACCGCAAAGAAAGACGAAATCTGTAAGATCAACTCTGTGAGAACTCTGAAAAGTAAGAATTGCAGCAACTAACCTCACACTAAAACAAGAAAATGGCTACCTTTAATTGGTAAATTTATTCCTAGTTGTTTTATTCTTTTTGATGCTATCTGAAATGGAATTGCTTTATTTTCTTTTCAGATTGTTCATGGCTGGCATATAGAAACAACCCATCTTTGTGTGTTAGTCCTGTGACTTTGCTAAATTCTTTTATTGGCTCACCTAGCTTCTTAGGGAGTTTACCACCACCACCAAATATGTTGTTGTTGTCAACATATTATTTGTGAATAGAGATAGTTTTGCTTCTCCCTCTTCAATTTGGAAACCCTTTCTTCTCCTCTTTCTCCCTCCTCCTTTTCTTTCTCCCTTCTCCAACACCTTCTTCTCCTTCTCCTTTTTCTTGCTTAATTGTGCTGGCTATATCTTCCTGTACAATGTTAAGAAGCAGAAGGAAAAGCAGTCATCCTTGTCTTGTTCCTGATTTTAGAAAAAAAGTTTTCAGGCTTTCATTATTGAGTATGAAGCTAGCTGAGTTTGTGGCGCTGTGGTTTAATGCGCCAGACTGCAAAGTCATTTGAACTGCAAGGTTGGCGGTTCAAGCTCACCATTCACTCTTTGGAAACCCTATACAGGGTCGCTATGGGTCGGAACCAACTTGACGGCACTTGACAACAACAGTCATGCCTAAGACTTTGGGTGTTGGTTTTGTCAAATGTCTATTCTGCATCAATTGAAGTGATCATAGCTTTGTGTGTTCCTCTGTTCTGTTAATGTGGTATCATTGATTGATGTTCTAATATTGAATCACCTTTGAATTGGAAGAAGTTCGGTTTGTCTCCTTAAATGGTCCAGCACCAAGTAAGAGGAGGGAGGAGGGCAGGGGAGGAAGACAGAAAGTAGAAAAGTCCTTAAACTGCATAAATCATCATCAGAAAATCCTCAAGTGGTTCCTTAAAGCACATTTGTGTTAATGACATAATATTCCTGGAATTTTCACTCTCTGCCCTGGAATAGTAATTGCAATATGAATAGTTGCAAAGAGATAATGTTCAGGCCAATCAAATGAATGATCTGTTTGTGTGCCTGTGTTTTGAAAGACAGAACTCCCTGGAAAATGCCTCAACAAGCCTTCCCTTGTTTCTAGGGTTGGGTATAGATTGTTGCCCACTACCCGAGACTTAGCCAGAGAAACCTGGCTTCCAGTCATTTTTAAAGCTGTTTGGATCTTTGTCAATTTACATAAAAGACACACACATGAGTTCCATTTATCATACTTCTCTAACAATGGAGCTGGCAAATTCAGAGAGCTGGAACACCTCCATTTGTAACAAGTCCAATTCCTGACCGTCAGCAGCATTTTAACTCCTCTTGGCAAATACACTTGGTTCTGAATATTTTCAGAAAATATGGCTAGCAAGAAGTGCATGCCAAAATCACACAGTTGCTGAAGGAGGTAGTTGATCAGTGACCTGTCCCCTCGTGAATTGTCTAAGGAAAAGAAATGCTAGTGGAATTTAGGAATTCTTAGAGTTTATTTAAAATTTAATAGCCACTTATTAGTTTTAAAGATCCTTCTTTAAATTTCTAATTTTATATTTTAAAAATGAGATAACATTCAACCCGACTATGAGCTTGTGATTAATTCTAAATCTTTCTAAACATTCTCTTTCAGAGCCACTGGTGGGCTTGAACCACATTGGCTAGCAGCCCAAAGCCCAACCCACAGTATTACCAGGGCTCCTTTTCTATACTCTGTGTTCACCTCTTAATCTAGTATGGTTATTAGTTAATAGAAGAAATAGCATTTGTTGTTGTTAGGTTCCATTGAGTCAGTATCAACTCATAGCAACCCTATGTACAACAGAACGAAACACTGCCCCGTCCTGGGCCAACCTCACAATTGTTGTGAACCCATGGCTGCTGCCACTGTGCCAATCCATCTCATTGGGGCTCTCCTTCTTTTTCTCTGACCCTCCACTTTACCAAACATGATATCCTTCTCCCGTGGCTGGTCTCTCATGATAAAATATCCGAATATGAAAGACAAAGTCTGGCCATCCTAGCCTCCAAGGAGCACTCTGGCTGTACTTTTTCTAACACAAATCTGTTTGTTCTTTTTGCACCCCATGGTACTTTCAATATACTCTTCCAACACCATAATTCAAATGCATCATCAATTCTTCTACAGCCTTCCTTTTCACTGATATGAGGTTATTGAAAATACCATGGCTTGGGTCAGGCGTACCTTAGTCCCCATCTTTGCTCTTCAACACTT